AGAGGACGGAGGAGGAGACGGCAGAGGGACACGTTGTGGAGCAGTGGAAGGAGGCAGAGTCATAGAGTGAGTGCCAGGGACAGGAGGAGGACGCTCACGCGGAACACGACGACTAGTGCGGACAGCGCGGACAGGCGACGCAGGACGAGACTCACGCTCGCGACGCTCCGTAAGACCTCTAGTCGGTCCAGAGTAAGGAGAAGGACCAGGCACTGGAGAGGCTGGCTGTAACTGAGACTGCGACTGGACAGGCGGTGGACTCAGTAGGGGAGGAGTAGGACCAGTAGAGGGTGGGAGGCCAAGAACCTGCTGAAGGAGCGTAACGTAGTACGGCCGCGCAGCGCCTCCTGAACCAGCAGAGACATCACCAGCACCCTCAGCTCCAGGTTCTCCAGCTACAACTCCCGCAGCACCACCAGCTCCAACAGCTCCAGCACCTCCAGCTCCAACTCCCGCAGTAGCTCCAGTCCCAGTAGCTCCAGTACCTCCATTACGAGCACCTCCAGGACCAGCGGCTCCAGCAGCTCCAGCACCATTAGCACCTCCAGCAGCTCAAGCACCAGCAGCACCTCCAGCAGCACCACCAGCAGCTCCAGCGCCAGCACCACCTCCAGCAGCTCCAGCACCAGTAGCACCTCCAGTAGCTCCAGCACCAATAGCACCTCCAGCAGCTCCCGCACCAGCAGCACCTGCAACAGCACCACTAGAAGCTCCAACGCCAGCAGCACCTCCAGCACCAGGCCCCCCAGCTCCAACACCACGGCTACAGCACCGAGCGTACCACTCACAAAGTGTCAGTGGAGAGAGGGGCTCTCGCGGCGACGGGACACTCTGAGGACCTCCAGTCTCAGCACTCCCAGAGATAGCACCCCCAGGCGCAGCATCCCCAGACTCAGCAACCCCAGGCTCAGCACCCCCAGACCCGGCACCCGCAGGCTCAGCACCCCTAGCAGCACTAGAGTCAACAGCTACCTCAAAAGGCTCGACTGCATCTACCTGAGACACGCCTGAGGGGGCACGACCCTGAGGGGGGAGGGGGTCTACAGGAGGAGTACCTGGCGCGAGGAAGAGCGGCGGGGGGGGGGGGGGGGGGGGGGGGGAGGGGGACATTGCGGTAGGGGAAGAGACGGTAGTAAGGAACCGACTTGTCAAACGTGACGTCCTGAGAGGACAGAACACGGCGCGAGGTGGGGCGGTAAAACTGCCAACCAAGCGCATCAAGGGGGAAGCCAAGGAAGACGCAGAGAACTGCACGAGAGGACAGCTTGTCCGCAGACAGGTCACAGACGAAAGCTCGAGATCCCCAGACACGAAACGCAGACGCATCGCCAACCTTCTCTGATCTACATCGCGTACTGAACCGCGAACGGCCACAGAAAATAGGGAGCAGCCGCATGGATCATGGACGTACGAGCGACATCCATGACCATGCCAATGCGGCGCTCAGCAATCCCATTTTGTTGTGGAGAGGCCCGAAGCGTGAACGTCTAGCGGATGCCCTTCGCCCGACAGAAAGCTCGCAGAAGGTCGGAGGAAAACTCTCCACCTCTGTCTGTGTGCAGACGCAGAACAGGAAAGTCAGAGCCGAAACTCTCTCTGAGCTAGAGACGAGCAGCGCGGATCCAGTCGATCACCACCTTAGTGACCTCACCCTTGCGGCGCAAGGGTAAGACCGTGGTGTAACGCGAGTAGTCGTCAACAACCAGTAGGAAGTAACGCTCGTGACCCTGTCCACGGACGCGGGCTTGGCCCCACACGTCCATGTGAAGAGTCTGCAGGGGAGCCTCTGTCGGAGGAAACTCGGAGGAGTGAGGAGCGGCGTGCTGCTGGCCCTCGATGCAGAGAACGCAGGTAGGGGCAGGCCCCGGAGGAAGGGGAGCGAGGGACGGGGGGGAGACCTGAGACAAGGACACAGGAGGCCATGCCTCGGAGACGAGGCAGGGAGGGGTGACCAAGGTGGTGGTGCCACAGGAGAGTCTCGTGAGATAGGAGGCGACACGAGCAGGGGGCAGACCTAGGGCCAGACTGGGACGCTGCAGCGAACACTTGACCCCGACGTGGCTACCCGACCAGACTCAGCAACCGGAGGAGACACGGTAGTCAGGGTGTACAGGCTCGACCCAGGCTAACGGGTGAACGTGGCCAGGTGCTGGCCTGTCCGAGTACACGAACAGTGGGTCACCCGCTGAGCTCCAGGAGTGAACTGGTCAACCCACACGTCTTGAAGGTCAGCTCCACTCACCAAGTTTGTGGAGAACAAGGGGAGGTGGAGGCAGACGAGACTACCGGAAACGGCAGGACCGTGGAGGAGTGTGCAAGGACCGGACCTTCAGAGGGGTCAACTAGAGAGATTGCCACTGGCTGACTAAGTGAGGAGAGTGTGGTGCAGTCGCGAAAGAAGGAGCGGGAAGCATCCGAGTCAAGGGTGAAAGTGTGCAAGACCTGAGCCGACGCGGTACTTGAGAGAGCAGCCTCACCAGCACCTAGAGAAGCAGACTCACTAGCACCTAGAGCAGCAGCCTCAATGCCCGGGTCGGGCGAAACACGCAGGTAGCAGTCACCCTCAGCACTAATAGACACAGCATACATAGCAGCAAGGATAGCATCATAATCAAGATCAAAGATAGCAACCCCCGACTTAAGCAGAATATCCGAGCGAGGGATCTCAGTGGAGCCAAGGAACTGTGTACGCCAGGCGTCAGTCAGGCGGCCGAAGCAGCGTGGCGTGGTGTGCGGGCCGCCGCACGTCTCTCCACTGCGGTCTACGGTGCGAAGAACGTAAGTGCAGGTACCAGCACCCCCAGACCTCCCACGCCCAGCGTATCACTCACGGAGCTGCTGAGGCGACGGGGTCTCACGGGAGCAGCTGCTGCTGCTGGCGCTGGCCACTGCTAGACCCTCCCCGCTGCCCACCACCGCCCCCGCCACCCCCACCTCCGCCGCCGCCGCCGCCGCCGCCACCTCCACCCCCACTCCTGCTGCCTCCGCCGCCTCCACCTCCACCGCCGCCACCGATGCCCCCACTCCCGCCACCACTCCCACCTCCACCCCCACCCCCTCCGCCTCCTCCACCGCCACCACCGCCGCCCCCGCCATCCCCTCCACCCCCCTATCCCCCCTTGCCCTTGCCGTAGCTGCGCTTCCCACTAGGGGTAGACGCAGCGCCGACCAACTCGGTGCCAACGAGGTCGACAGCAGCAGCAGAGGCAACAGAGGGCAAAAGAGGGATGGGGGAGCACCTCTCAAAGAAAGGGGCACGAGGGTCACCACGAGAGGCTCCTACAACGACTATACTCTTCTCAGCTGCCAGGAGGCGCTCCTCGAGGAGGTCAACGGTGAGCGTGGTGGGGCAAAGGGAGAGGAAGTGGTCCTTGACCGAGCAAAGGGAGTCAGGGAGCCGGGTGACGAGGTAGTAAAGCGTGATGTACATAGGGGGGGGGGGGTTCGCGGCGTAGAACTCGGCAGGAAGTGCAGCGCGGTAGCGGGTGTAACTAGTGCGGAGGTGCATAATGAGGTCAACGACTGTGGCAAAAGCGGCTAGGTCACGGAACAGGTAAGGCAGCATGAGGCGGCTAAGGGCAGTAGTGGCAGGGGAGGAGTAGCGCGCAACAACAGCAGCGTACAGAGTGCTAGCAGTCTTTTACTGGCTAAAGTGTGCACGCTCAGCAGACGGCAGGCGACTTTGGACAGCAAGACGGGTAGCAGCATCGCGCGTGGTCCACTGCGAGTGAACAGTACTGGCAAGCATCAGCAGCAGGTGCAGTAGAGGCGCCAGAAGTGAGGTGAAAAAGAGAGACTCCCTCCTTGCTATCGCACTGCAGAAACAGCTGCAGATCATCGACCGAGACTTCAAAGTCGACCGCTCGACCCTCAGCATCGAAGGTGAGTACATTAGGGCTGGCCATAGCAGCAGGGGCAGCAGCAGTGACCTAGCGGCAGCAGAAGTAGCGCGACTCGGCAGGGCATCGCGGCTCGGCAGGGCGGCGCGGCTCGGCAGGGCGGCACGGGCGCAGAAGCGCGCGGGTGAGGCGGTGCGCTTACCAGTGGCGGGAGTGAAGGGCCGCTAGTGGTGGGGCTGGGCCAGGGCGCGTCGGCAGGGGAAAGGGCCGCCACAAGGAGGGGCCGCGGCGAGGCGGCAGGGCAGGGCCGGGACAGCAGGGCCGGCAGGGCGGCAGCAGGGCCGCTACGGCGGCAGCAGGGGCGACGGCAGCTGCTGCATGGCAGGTGGCCGCGACAGTGGCGGCAAGGCAGGGGCCGCGACAGCCGCGCGCGATAGCCTGACGTACAGCACAAGTAGCGCAACACCTTCTTAGCGGCATCCATGTGCTCCTTCCGGTGTCTCCCAGGAGCAACATAGCGTGCCAAGATGCTAAGAGGGTATGCCAGGTCAGGTCGAGTGCAGGTCATCAGGGTATATGAGGCAGCCCACAAGCTCTGGATATGGGCCACTTGGCTCTACGTACTCATCTGAAGGAAGAGCTGAGAGCGAGTGGCGAGAAGGCCGAGGAGTGGACTGTGGCGAGGAGTACGTGAAGTTGAAGCGCTGAAGGACCTGCTCCACCATGTGTGACTGATTCAAGGTAATGGTGCGCTGTGCTGTGTCCCGGGTGAACTGCAAGCCAAGATAGCTGCGCAGCTCACCCAAGTCTGTGCACGTGTGTCTCTTCTGCAGCTCCGACTTCATGTGGGCGAGTCCCTCAGTATCAGCAGTAGCAAAAACCAAGTCGTCAACGTACACGAGGACGTAGAACGGCGGCAGAGAGGTGTCAGTGCGTAGAAACAGCGGCGGGTCAGCAGTAGAAGGAGCAAACACAAGAGCCGCAAGAGTCGTCCTCACTGTGTCATGCCACTCTTGGGGCGCCTGGCGGAGACCGTAGACTGGCCGCCAGTGGCACCACTGGGTACCAGCAGGAAACGACCTAGTGAAGCCAACAGTAACGAGAAGACACGTGACAGTAGGACAAGTAGCATGAAGGGAGTCAGAATCTGGATCCGGACCGTCAACAAGGGAGGACGCAGGAGGAGACGATAGAGGGACACGCTGTGGAGCAGTGGAAGGACGAAGTACCATCTGGTGTGTGCCTGTGACAGCAGGAGAATGCTGGCGCGGAGCACGACGACCAGTACAAACAGCGCGAGCAGGTGACGCAGGATGAGACTCAGGCGACGCAGGACGAGACTCAGGCTCACGACGCTCCGTAAGACCTCTAGTCGGCCCAAAGTAAGGAGAAGGACCAGGCAGTGGAGAGGCTGGCTGTAGCTGCGACTGCGACGGGGCAGGTTGTGGACACAGTACGGGAAGAGTGGGACTAGTAGAAGGTCGGAGGCCGAGAACCTGCTGAAGTAGTGGAGCGAAGTACGGCCACGGCCGCGCAGCGCCTTCTGAACCAGCAGAGACTGCACCAGTTCCCCCAGCTCCAGGGTCTCCAGCTCCAACTCCCGCAGCACCACCAGCTCCTGCACCTCGAGCAGCTCCAGCTCCAGCAGCACCAGCTCCAACGCCGCCAGCTCCAACTCCTGCAGCACCACCAGCTCCAGCAGCTCCTGTACCTCCAGTACGAGCACCTCCGGCAGCTCCAGCACCAGCAGGACCTCCAGCAGCTACAGCTCCAGCAGCACCTCCAGCTCCAACAGCTCCAGTAGCACCAGCTCCCGGGGCTCCAGCGGCAGTGCCCTCAGCTCCAGCAGCTCCTCGCTGGAGTCTCCAGCGGCGAGCAAACCACTCGCGCAGCTGCGGTGGAGAGCGAGGCTCCCGCCGAGATGAGGCACTTGCAGGAACTCCAGTAGACTCAGCACCCCCAGTCTCAGCAACTGCTGGCTTAGTACCCTCAGGCTCAGCACCCCCACGCTAAGCACCCCCAGGCTCAGCACCCTCAAACTCAGCACCCCTAGGGCACTGTGAGCTGATGCTGGATCCCCTTCTTCTTCAACACCACCTCAAACTCCTTGCCAATGAACTCTCCCCCATTGTCGGTGCGGATCACCTTCACCTTGTGTCCGCTCTCCCTTTGAGCTCTCGGCATCCACTCCTTAAAAACAGCCGCTGCCACCTCCCCCTTAGTCTTCAATGGGTACACCCACACCGCACGCGTGTGGTCGTCCACAATCGTCAAGAAGTAGCGGCTGCCTGAGAGAGAAAGGGCCCTCGTGGGGCCCACCACATCCATGTGCACTAGTGCAAGTGGTGCCTTGGCTGGTCCTGTGCTGGTGCTGAAGGGAAACTTCGTGAATTCGGTCTCAAGGCAGGTAGGGCAGCTCCTAATCTCCTTTGCTCCCCCCTTCACCTCCAGCCCCTTCAAGCACACATCCTTTATCAACTTCTGCAGCATAGGAATGTTCACATGGCACAGCCTCTCATGCCACGTCTCCCAATCAGCCTCACCACTCCCAGGTGAAGCCTTTGCCCATGCAGCTGTCGCATCCACACCAGCAAGCACCTCACCATGTGGCTGCTGTGGCTGCTGCACCTTCTTGACTGCATCCATGGCCGCAGCAGTTGGTGCAGACTCCTCTCCTCCCGCAGTTGCTTTAGCCGCTCCCGCTGCCTTTGCTGTTGCTGGTGGTTTCCCCTTCCAAGGGATGATGGGCAGCTGCCACAGGTCCTTGATGCAGCTGCTCTTCTCCTCCAAGTTCCACAGCAGCATCTTCCCAAGCTTTGCACGGCAGCTGGTTGGGCCGAAGGTAACTTCAGCCTTGCTCTTCTGCAGCCGGCGCACAGAAAGAAGGTTAGCGGACAAACCTTCAACCAACAGCACATTCCCAAGCCCCACAAGCTCTCCATTGGCTCCCATCACCTTAGCATTCCCAACACCAATCACAGGGAGCAAAGCACCTGAAGCGGCAGCCACAAACTTGATCTTCCCAGGAGGTTTTACCTCATCAAGCAAATCTGCCCGTGGGGTCATATGACTCGTGCAACCTGAATCGATCACCCAGTGAGTGAGGGGGTGCATCACAACCTTCCCAACTGAACCCACATCACCTCCACTCCCTTGCACATCCTCAACCATGAGGAACATCCCAGGGTCGGCTTTACCTTGTGCACCATCACCTTGTGCACCTGAACCTTGCACAGCGCCACCGCGTGCACGTTCACCACTTGGCGGCTTCATGCCTGGAGGGGCCCATCCCTCAGGCCGGCTGAAACACTTGAACCACAGGTATCCAGCCTTCTTGCAGTACCAGCACGCACCCTCCATTCGGGTGCTCCCCCTGCCACCAGAGCTCCCATGCCCCTCATTGTAGTCACCTCGGCTTCTCCCTCTGCCAAAGCCTCTCCCACGGCCTCGGCCTCTCCCTCCCCCTCTTCCTCTGCTGCCTCCTGCAGCTCCATACCCCTCAGCAGTTTTGTTGGCAGCACCACCTCCTGTGTGGCGCCTGCAGAAGTCGTCCTGCAGAATCTGCTGCTGTAGCCACTCAGGCGTCCATTTGTCCTGCTGAACGTCGAGAGTGGGGATGAGGTTGTCCCATGAGTTGTCGAGCACCGAGATGATCTTGGTGCACTGTTGCATCTGCGACACTTCGCTGCCCGCCGCTGCCATCCTCGCATAGGTGTCCTTGATCTTGTCAAGGACCGGTTTCACATCATCTCCCGGTTTCATGGAGAGGGCAGCCAACTCCTTCTCCAACACAATCATCATCGGCAGTGTGTTGGGCTGAATCACGTCGCGTAGCAGCTTCCATGCCTTTGGTCCGGAATCATCCAACTCCACCTAATCCTTGATGTGTTGGAACATGTCATTGTTGACCGATTGGAGGATGAGGTCGTACAGCACCATGCTCTTCTCAATCCACCGATCACGTGCATCTCCTTCCCCCGGCATCTTCTCCTCTCCCATTGCAATTTTCAGCAGCTTGTAGCGCTTGAAGGCGCTCCGCATCCGCCCGCTCCATTCTTCATAGTTGGAGCCATCTAAAGATTTGATATGAGATGGTGGCGGTTCACTCCTCTTCTCAGCTGCATTTCCACTCCCTTGATTCATCTCCTCTGCTCCCAATCACAGGTTTCAGCTCCCCCCTTTGCTGGTCACAATGTAGATCCACACAATCTTCATAAGTGTCGGCGCCAACGAAATTTCGGCAGAGTTTCCCCTTAGCGGAAGTCACATCCAACCTCCAGAACTCCACTTAGGCATGCCCACAGGCCATGGTGGGTCTAGGAGGGTCTTCACACTTCAGTAGACTCTCCACAAATTCCTTAATGAGCTCTGATACCACCTGTTTGAAGCTAAGGACGGAGTCTACTAAGATTAGGTGCTTAAATTTCTCAATATCGTTGGCTTAAAATTCTGGACAGAAACGTCAACTTCACAAAAAACGCCGTCGACGAAAGGTGCACCGTTAAAACATCATCAAACTCAGATATGTTGTAGCTCTATGCGGTGGCTACAATTCCCAATTTGAATCGTACAATAACGTGAAGTACTTCTTGAGTTATGAATTTCGGCGCACTAGGGGGTAAGCTGCCATAGAATCTTAACTCAGTCACAATAGTCTCACACAAGTTCACACAAGAGAATTAGAGTAGCACTAGACCAGGTGGGAGGGATGAGAAGGACGAGAGGGAAGGTCCCAAGAGAGTCCCCAACCAAGGAAAGCCCATGCCACACAATTCCCTTCCCCATAGGCAACCCAACATTGACCTTTGTCACTATCCCAACCTCCACAATCCACCTCAACCCAACTTGGCCACACTTGCCAACCTGGTTTGGCTTCTCCCAACCATTTGGCAGCAACTACAGTAGAAAAGACGAATTTTCCAACCCCCAAAAGTCTCTACCCCATATTGAGTCAACCCCACAACTTCCCATAGTCACCACAACCAAATATAAAAAACATACGAACTCCAACGTTCGTAACTTTCTTGTTCGTGCTCCGATTGAAGCGATACTTGGTTCGTCGGAAAGCTCTTGAGCAGAGGAGTCACTTCAGATATCTGCTCAAGCCAAATAACATTCACACACACTCAGAAAAACCAAACCGCACAAAACACAAATTCTTGCACACTCTCACACCACGCATACAACGCACGAACATATGATGGGAGGCAGACAGACGTGAATGCATATGATTGCATCACACAACAGAGCATGCAGTCCGTTATTTTGTGGGGGAGTTTGTTGGATGCACGTCATTCTGAGTGCATGTCATCCTAACGTCCTGCCGAGTGCTCGTGCTATTCATGCGTGCATTGTTTGCAAGAGCATATGTCATTGTGGATGGCTCTGTGTTTTTTCCAAGTTTAAATGCTTGATCCCTTGATCCGCATCGTTGGAGAACCCCTTCCCTCATCATGAGGTATCGTTGGAGAACCCCTTCCCTCTCATGGTTCTCTTGAAGGTTCCCAATTCCAACTTCCAATGCCTTAATGCTTGTACTTCCTCCACCATACTAGTCATGCGGCTGCTGCACGTTTTTACTTGGTTCTTACTCTCTAGACCATCTTAATGACTGATTCAACTTGGAGATGGTAGCTAAGCCTAAGGCGCACAATCCTACTGAGCGGATTTGCGTTTAGTTGAGTAATGAGTTCGTCGTGAGCTCTCAAATTTGCTGATCCTGAACAACAGCTTCATCAAAATTGACGGTCCTTGATCAAACGTGGTTGAAACTTGTGTGCAACCCCATGGTTTGCACTCAACTTGTTGTTCGTGCGCGTGCATGCGTGTATGCATGAAATGGTATGAGAGTATGAGATAATATATATTTTTCATGCTTATAATGGTGTGTGAATGATGAGTCATTAAATTTTGTAGTGTAACATTTCTCTTGGTGTAGGCCCTTGTGGATGGTAGTTTCGAGACCCTTCGTGGTTGGGGACAATGTGGCACTGTTCCACTTCACTGTACCTTGGCTCTTGGGGTTTGTAGAGGCTGGGAGTCATTCCCAACGCGTAACTCTTCCTAATTTGTGTTCTAAGACTATAGTGGTTGCCATAGTGCCGTTCGTTCAAACTAAAGTTGCGTCGTCAATACTTGATGAAATTGTGCGATGAAAATTGCCTATTGTAGCTGACATAAAGATGCTCCAGATCCAAGTTAAAGCAGGTCATTTGAAGCTGTGACTAGAGCACATTTGAAGCCACTGTGCAAAAATCTTACTGTGCACTCTATCTTTTGTTTTAGGCACATTTGAGCCTATTGTGACTATAACAAGTGGTATCTGAGCCCCTTGGAGCAGTTTCGACAATGGCTGGACCTGAAGAAAGGTATGGCAGAGGTGCTGGTGGCAGTGGAGTAGCCCAAGCTCAAGGCCAACCTCGTGATCCCGCCATGTCTCCCATGCAACCAAGTCTTGGCCCTCCTAGGGATGAGCCTAGGGTGTTTGGGCTTGACAAGTTCAGCGGCGACAACTTTGCTGAATGGTCCTTCAAAATGGAGAACGTATTTGACCACTATGACCTGCTGGAGGTGATGGAAGGAGTAGAGAAGCGCCCCGAGAACGACCCGGAGAAGAGCCCGTGGGTGCGGAAGAGCGCACAATGCTATCTCCTACTTGGGCAAGCGTCGGGGAGCAGCCAGATCCGCCACATCAAGCCATTCCAGCGTTAACCAGAGAAGGGACCAAAGGCATGGGCTGCTCTCAAGGGTATACATGCTCCTGCAATAGCGGCGGTAGCAGTGGTGTTGGAGCGGCAAATCGTGGCACTAAGAATTGGAGAAGATGAATCAGTTAAAGAAGGGGTGCATAAATTCTTCGATTTGTTGACGCGGCTTGAAGGAGCGGATCTCAACTATAGTGAGCTCCAAAAGAAGACCAAGTTGCTGGCCTTACTCTCAGAGTCAGGGTTCTTGCTCATCATCAACCTCAATCGTGACTTGCCCCGCCTCTCGCTTGAAGTCGTGAAGCGAGCGATCCATCGAGTGGATTTCCGCCGCCGTGAGTTGGCGGGTTCGGATGGCGCCAGGGCAGCAAGCATCGGCCGGGGATATGGTCGTGGAAGGGGCAGAGGACAAGGAGGAGGAAGGTTTGGAGGCAGCAGCTGCAAAGAGTCACTCTACAAGGTGGTGAGCTAGACTACAGGGGGGGGGGGGGGGGGGGGGGTGGGGTGACACGAACTATTGGGGGTGATCGTAGCTTTGCTTAGTTCCTCAGCGCTTGCACGTTTACGGGAGAAATCGGCAAGAGTTTTACTAGGCCAAGATTGCATTACAAGAATGATTGAACAAGCAATGACAACAATGACTACATCAGGCACCTAGCAACTCTGCAGCTAGCCTGGTCGACCGCCAGCACTGCATGGTCGACCACGCGTAGAGGAGCCGCGCCAGCACTGCAGAAATGCGACCTGCCAACGCAGCAGGTGGACGGCGTGCCAATGCGGCAGCAAAGTGGCTGTCCAGCGTTGCACCCGTAGATGGCAGCAGTACGCACGCTTGCAGGTGCGCGCAGACGATTCGCCCGACTTGCACCGTTGTGCATCCGTCGGCTGTTGTCTGCGCCTGA